ACTCCTCCGCGTGGCAGGGTGTATCCTCTCTCGGTTGCACAGAATAAGGCCATGGAGGAGTACGTTACGGATGCGCTTTCTCGGGGGCACATTCGTAAGTCTACCTCTCCAGCAGGTTTTTTTTTTGTAAAGAAGAAGGGTGGGGAATTGAGGCCTTGCATCGACTATAGGGGTCTCAATCGGATCACCATCAAGAATGCCTATCCAATTCCTTTGATTTCTGAGTTGTTTGATCGCCTTAAAGGAGCAACAGTCTTTACCAAACTCGACCTCAGGGCGGCGTACAATCTCGTAAGGATCAAACAGGGGGATGAGTGGAAGACCGCGTTTAACACCAGAACCGGGCACTATGAATACCTGGTGATGCCCTTCGGGTTGTGTAATGTGCCTGCGGTTTTTCAGGAATTCATTAATGATGTCCTTCGTGACTTGTTGCAGCAGTGCGTGGTGGTTTACCTGGATGACATCCTGGTTTACTCTACCTCCATGGAGTCCCATATCCAGGATGTCAAGCGGGTGCTGCAACGATTACGGGAGAACGAACTCTTTTGTAAGCTCGAGAAGTGCGAGTTCCATCGATCCCAAGTTGCCTTTTTGGGCTACATCATCTCCGCGGAGGGATTCTCTATGGACCCTCAGAAGGTTGCGGCGGTTCTGCAGTGGCCTCGTCCCAATGATCTTCGGCCCATTCAGCGCTTTCTGGGTTTTGCCAACTACTATCGAAAGTTCATCAGGAACTTCTCCACATTGGCGAAACCTCTGTCTGATTTAACCAAAAAAGGGAGTAACCCTCACGAGTGGCCACCCGAGGCCATCTCAGCCTTCGAGGCCCTGAAGTCCACCTTCGTTTCGGCCCCGATTCTGTCTCATCCCAATCCTGGGTTGCCTTTTGTCCTCGAGGTTGATGCATCTGAGACGGGAGTGGGAGCCCTCTTGTCTCAGGGTCGGTCACCCGAGGGACCCCTACTTCCTTGTGGGTTCTACTCCAAGAAGCTTTCCTCCGCAGAGTGCAACTACCAGATCGGGGACAGGGAGTTGTTGGCCATTATTCTGGCTCTCAAGGAATGGAGGCATCTGCTTGAGGGTTCTGTGGTTCCGGTCCTAGTTCTCACTGACCACAAGAACCTCACATATCTCTCGGAGGGTAAGAGGTTGTTGACGCCTCGTCAGGCCAGATGGGCCTTGTTCTTGTCACGCTTTAACTATGTGGTGTCCTATTTGCCTGGTTCCAAGAATGTCAGGGCTGATGCGTTATCACTAGAGATGAGCGAATCGAAGTAGGCGAAGTGGAATTCGTTTAGAATATTAGGAAAATTTCGATTCGCGTCGAATCCGAAAATAAGCAGACTTCGGATGCGCGAATCGAAATTTTTCCTAAAATGGCGGCGACATGTGCGGCGACGGAGCGGGGATGTCTGGGAAGGCGCGCAGACAAGGCGCGCTGACCCATAATGCATTCATTCATGACATGTGATCGCATTAGCCAATCAGCAGCCAGCCAGCCAGCACAGTGTAATGGTCGAGCTATAAATAGCGGCCATTTTAGAATTCTCCATTTGCCTCCAGTCATTCAACAGAGGCAGACCTGGCTGTATGCAGGGAGAGAGTTAGGGACACAGAAACGTTACTTAGGGACAGAGAAACGTTAGTTAGGGCCACAGAATCGTTACTTAGGGCCACAGAAACGTTTACTTAGGGCCACAGAATCGTTAGTTAGGGCCACAGAAACGTTACTTAGGGACACAGAATTGTTACTCAGGGACAGACAGAATTGTTACTGAGGGCCACAGAATCGTTACTTAGGGCCACAGAAACGTTACTTAGGGCCACAGAATTGTTACTTAGGGACAGACACAGAATTGTTACTGAGGGACACAGATTTGTTACTGAGGGCCACAGAATCGTTACTTAGGGCCACAGAATTGTTACTTAGGGACAGACACAGAATTGTTACTGAGGGACACAGATTTGTTACTGAGGGCCACAGAATCGTTACTTAGGGCCACAGAAACGTTACTTAGGGCCACAGAATTGTTACTTAGGGACAGACACAGAATTGTTTACTGAGGGCCACAGAATCGTTACCTAGGGCCACAGAATTGTTACTTAGGGACAGACACAGAATTGTTTTTGAGGGACACAGAATTGTTACTGAGGGCCACAGAACCGTTACTTAGGGCCACAGAAACGTTACTTAGGGCCACAGAATTGTTACTTAGGGACAGACACAGAATTGTTACTGAGGGACACAGATTTGTTACTGAGGGCCACAGAATCGTTACTTAGGGCCACAGAATTGTTACTTAGGGACAGACACAGAATTGTTATTGAGGGACACAGAATTGTTACTGAGGGCCACAGAACCGTTACTTAGGGCCACAGAATTGTTACTTAGGGACAGACACAGAATTGTTATTGAGGGACACAGAATTGTTACTGAGGGCCACAGAACCGTTACTTAGGGCCACAGAACCGTTACTTAGGGCCACAGAAACGTTACTTAGGGACAGACACAGAATTGTTACTGAGGGACACAGATTTGTTACTGAGGGCCACAGAAACGTTACTTAGGGCCACAGAAACGTTACTTAGGGCCACAGAATCGTTACTTAGGGCCACAGAATTGTTACTCAGGGACAGACACAGAATTCTTACTCAGGGACAGACACAGAATTGTTACTCAGGACACAGAATTGTTACTGAGGGACACAGATTTGTTACTGAGGGCCACAGAATCGTTACTTAGGGCCACAGAATTGTTACTTAGGGACAGACACAGAATTGTTACTGAGGGACACAGATTTGTTACTGAGGGCCACAGAATCGTTACTTAGGGCCACAGAAACGTTACTTAGGGCCACAGAAACGTTACCTAGGGCCACAGAATTGTTACTTAGGGACAGACACAGAATTGTTATTGAGGGACACAGAATTGTTACTGAGGGCCACAGAAACGTTACTTAGGGCCACAGAAACGTTACTTAGGGCCACAGAATCGTTACTTAGGGCCACAGAAACGTTACTTAGGGCCACAGAATTGTTACTCAGGGACAGACACAGAATTCTTACTCAGGGACAGACACAGAATTGTTACTCAGGGACACAGAATTGTTACTGAGGGACACAGAATTGTTACTGAGGGACACAGAATTGTTTACTTAGGGCTCAGGGACACAGAATTGTTACTCCGGGACTGAATTGTTACTGAGGGACACTGAATTGTTACTGAGGGACACTGAATTGTTACTGAGGGACACAGAATTGTTACTGAGGGACACAGAAATGTTACTGAGGGACACAGAATTGTTATTCAGGGACACAGAATTGTTACTCAGGGACACAGAATTGTTACTCAGGGACAGACACAGAATTGTTACTCAGGGACAAAGAATTGTTACTCAGGGCCACAGAACTGTTACTTAGGGGCCACAGAAACGTTACTCAGGGACACAGAATTGTTACTCAGGGACAGACACAGAATTGTTACTCAGGGACAAACACAGAATTGTGTTACTCAGGGACAGACACAGAATTGTTACTGAGGGACACAGAATTGTTACTGAGGGACACAGAATTGTTACTTAGGGCCACAGAAACGTTACTCAGGGACACAGAATTGTTAATCAGGGACAGACACAGAATTGTTACTCAGGGACAGACACAGAATTGTTACTCAGGGACACAGAATTGTTACTGAGGGACACAGAATTGTTACTGAGGGACACAGAATTGTTACTCAGGGACACAGAATTGTTACTCAGGGACAGACACAGAAATGTTACTCAGGGACAGACACAGAATTGTTACTGAGGGACACAGAATTGTTACTGAGGGCCACAGAACTGTTACTTAGGGCCACAGAAACTGTTACTCAGGGACACAGAATTGTTACTCAGGGACAGACACAGAATTGTTACTCAGGGACAGACACAGAATTGTTACTGAGGGACACAGAATTGTTACTGAGGGACACAGAATTGTTACTGAGGGACACAAAATTGTTACTGAGGGCCACAGAACTGTTACTTAGGGCCACAGAAACATTACTCAGGGACACAGAATTGTTACTCAGGGACAGACACAGAATTCTTACTCAGGGACAGACACAGAATTGTTACTGAGGGACACAGAATTGTTACTGAGTGACACAGAATTGTTACTGAGGGGAATTGTTATCACAGGACACAGAATCGTTACTGAGGGCCACAGAAATGTTACTTAGGGCAACAGAAACGTTACTTAGGGACACAGAATTGTTACTCAGGGACAGACACAGAATTGTTACTCAGGGACAGACACAGAATTGTTACTCAGGGACAGACACAGAATTGTTACTGAGGGACACAGAATTGTTACTGAGGGACACAGAATTGTTACTGAGGGACACAGAATTGTTACTGAAGGACACAGAATTGTTACTGAGGGACAGACACAGAATTGTTACTCAGGGACAGACACAGAATTGTTACTGAGGGACACAGAATTGTTACTGAGGGACACAGAATTGTTACTGAGGGACACAGAATTGTTACTGAGGGCCACAGAACTTGTTACTCAGGGCCACAGAAACGTTACTCAGGGACACAGAATTGTTACTCAGGGACACAGAATCGTTGAATTAAAGAGTATGTCAGACAACATGCAGAGGAGTGGCAGAGGAGGCAATGTTTTAGGAGCGAGCAGACGTGGCAGCAGAGGAAGGGGTCGAGGCAGCACTATTCGCAGCCAGAGGCCAGTGCTCCCGGTGTCATCCAGTACAGTGAGGAAGAGCTAACAGAGGGCGGTCAGGAACGGGGGGAGACATCCGCCTCTTCAGCAGCCAGGCGAAGAAGTAGTGGCGAGGAGAGTGGCTTCGGTAGCCGGTCTAGAGACAGTCTGTCTCCTGAACCCCACACGAGCCGAGGGGGCTAGTAGTGAGGCGGAGACCCTAATTGATGATGATGAGGCTGATCGCACTTGGGACCCTCGTCGTCATCAGGCTATTGCTTCGGCATCATCAGGAGAAAGGCAGGGTGGCAGCTTGGCAGCGAGCAAAACAGTCGGTGGGTTGTCTCCATCGCCACACTCTGCCATGTGCCACCTTTCAGGTCTCCTCACACACTGCTGGTGTGTTCCATTTTTTGTCATAGGGTGCTGGCAGATTACGGGCCTCCCATAGCTGCTGCCAGGCCCCTAATCTGCCATGGGCCCCTGTACCGCCTCCTCATGCTGCTGCCAGGTCCACAGTGTCTCATGCCATGTGCAGCACTTTCAGGTCTCCTCACACTGCTGGTGTGTTCCATTTTTTTGTCATAGGGTGCTGGCAGATTACGGGCCTCCCATAGCTGCTGCCAGGCCCCTAATCTGCCATGGGCCCCTATACCGCCTCCTCATGCTGCTGCCAGGCCCAGAGTCTCTCATGGGACCCTGTACGGCCTCCCATTGCTGCTGTCTCCATCGCCACACTCTGCCATGTGCCACTTCAGGTCTCCTCACACACTGCTGGTGTGTTTCAATTTTTTTTTTGACATAGGGTGCTGGCAGAATACGGGCCTCCCATAGCTGCTGCCAGGCCCCTAATCTGCCATGGGCCCCTATAGCGCCTCCTCATGCTGCTGCCAAGGTCCAGAGTGTCTCAGGGTCCCTGTACGGCCTCCCATTGCTGCTGTCTCCATCGCCACACTCTGCCATGTGCCACTTTCAGGTCTCTCCTCACACTGCTGGTGTGTTCCATTTTTTGTCATAGGGTGCTGGCAGATTACGGGCCTCCCATAGCTGCTGCCAGGCCCCTAATCTGCCATGGGCCCCTGTACCGCCTCCTCATGCTGCTGAGTCTGTCATGGGTCCCAGGTCCACAGTGTCTCATGTCATGTGCCACTTTCAGGTCTCCTCACACTGCTGGTGTGTTCCATTTTTTGTCATAGGGTGCTGGCAGATTACGGGCCTCCCATAGCTGCTGCCAGGCCCCTAATCTGCCATGGGCCCCTGTACCGCCTCCTCATGCTGCTGCCAGGTCCAGAGTCTGTCATGGGTCCCTGTACGGCCTCCCATTGCTGCTGTCTCCATCGCCACACTGTGCCATGTGCCACTTTCAGGTCTCCTCACACTATGCTGTGTGTTTCAATTTTTTGACATAGGGTGCTGGCAGATTACGGGCCTCCCATAGCTGCTGCCAGGCCCCTAATCTGCCATGGGCCCCTATACCGCCTCCTCATGCTGCTGCCCAGGTCCAGAGTCTGTCATGGGTCCCTGTACGGCCTCCCATTGCTGCTGTCTCCATCGCCACACTCTGCCATGTGCCACTTTCAGGTCTCCTCACACACTGCTGGTGTGTTCAATTTTTTTGACATAGGGTGCTGGCAGATTACGGGCCTCCCATAGCTGCTGCCAGGCCCCTAATCTGCCATGGGCCCTATACCGCCTCCTCATGCTGCTGCCAAGTCCAGAGTGTCTCATGGGTCCCTGTACGGCCTCCCATTGCTGCTGTCTCCATCGCCACACTCTGCCATGTGCCACTTTCAGTCTCCTCACACACTGCTGGTGTGTTCAATTTTTTTGACATAGGGTGCTGGCAGATTACGGGCCTCCCATAGCTGCTGCCAGGCCCCTAATCTGCCATGGGCCCCTGTACCGCCTCCTCATGCTGCTGCCAGTCCAGAGTCTGTCATGGGTCCCTGTACGGCCTCCCATTGCTGCTGTCTCCATCGCCACACTCTGCCATGTGCCACTTTCAGGTCTCCTCACACACTGCTGTGTGTTGAATTTTTTGACATAGGGTGCTGGCAGATTACGGGCCTCCCATAGCTGCTGCCAGGCCCCTAATCTGCCATGGGCCCCTATACCGCCTCCTCATGCTGCTGCCAGGTCCATGAGTCTGTCATGGGTCCCTGTACGGCCTCCCATTGCTGTGTCCTCCATCGCCACACTCTGCCACACTCTGCCATGTGCCACTTTCAGGTCTCCTCACACTGCTGGTGTGTTGAATTTTTTGACATTGGGTGCTGGCAGATTACGGGCCTCCCATAGCTGCTGCCAGGCCCCTAATCTGCCATGGGCCCCTGTACCGCCTCCTCATGCTGCTGCCAGGTCCAGAGTCTGTCATGGGTCCCTGTACGGCCTCCCATTGCTGCTGTCTCATGCCACATGTCTGCCATGTGCCACTTTCAGGTCTCCTCACACTGCTGGTGTGTTCAATTTTTTGACATAGGGTGCTGGCAGATTACGGGCCTCCCATAGCTGCTGCCAGGCCCCTAATCTGCCATGGGCCCTAATCTATGGGCCCCTATACCGCCTCCTCATGCTGCTGCCAGGTCCAGAGTCTCTCATGGGTCCCTGTACGGCCTCCCATTGCTGCTGTCTCCATCGCCACACTCTGCCATGTGCCACTTTCAGGTCTCCTCACACACTGCTGGTGTGTTTGAATTTTTTGACATAGGGTGCTGGCAGATTACGGGCCTCCCATTGCTGCTGCTGCCAGGCCCGTAATCTGCCATGGGCCCCCGTACCGACTCCTCATGCTGTGACGTTGCAACAAGGTGGAATTCAACCCTACATATGTTAGACCGCCCTTTACGAACAGCAAAAGGCCATCACAGATTTCCTGATGTTAAAAAAGCGGATAAAGGTACTCCCTGTGTAACTTAGATGTCAGCCATTGGCAGCTCATGCGTGACACCTGCGCTTGCTCAGGCCCTTTGAGGAGGCCACGCTATTCGTGAGTCGGCAGGACTATGGGATGAACGACGTCATTCCTCTGTTGCACGTCCTGGAACAAATGCTGTTAACAATGGCTGGTCAGGGTGCGGTAGACGTGGCGCACAGATCTCAACGCCACATGACCCCTGTGGGGGCAGGACAGGAAGAAGAGGAGGAGGTAGAGGAGGACATTGGTGCTCAGGAATTATTGAGTGAAATGGGTGGTTTTTCCACTCAGCGGACAGGAGTGGAGGAGCAGGAGCATCTGGTAGAGGAGGAGGAAGAGGAGACAGAGGACCCAGACGCACCGTGGCAGTATGCTGTGGAGATGGAGGCAGGGAGTCCCTCGCATTCCTTGGCACAAATGGCCCATAGCATGCTCGCTTGCTTGCGTACCGACAGCCGAATAATAACCATCAGACAGAGGGATGACTTTTGGCTGTCCACCTTGTTGGACCCTCGCTACCGTTCAAAAATGGTGGCCTTTTTCACACCTGCTGAGAGGGAGGCCAAAATAACGTACTATAAAAACCACCTATGTAGTCAGCTGGTCTCTGCCTGTCTGCGCCAACGTCCATCCTCAGACACTGTGGGCCCTGTGCGCTCGCGTTCCGCTGCCATGGCAGCAGGGGAGGGGTGGGGTGGTAGGAGCAGTGGCAGCTCCACCAGCAGCAGCTGCCTCAGCCTGCAGTCGATGATGAGTAGCTTTCTTCACCAGCGCAGTGAGGAAACTACTAACCAGCCGCAGCTGCAGCAGCAGCAGCAGCAGCAGCAGCAGCAGCAGCAGCATCAGGTGGACCTGGAGCAGGACCTCAAACAACAGGCTTAGGCCTACTTGGACAGCACCCTGCCAACCGAGGTAGACAATCCCCTTGACTACTGGGCAACGAAACTTGACCTTTGGCCCCAACTAGCTGAATTTGCCCTTGAAAGGCTGTCATGCCCGGCCAGTAGCGTGGCATCGGAGCGCGTGTTTAGTGCGGCAGGAGGTATTGCAACTCCGCGGAGGACACGACTGTCCACCCAAAGTGTGAAGAGACTCACGCTTGTGAAAATGAATCAGGCGTGGATTAGTCTGGATTTCAACCACCAGTTCCTGACACAACTGACTAAATCCGCCATGAATCATGCCCCAAACATGTGCCACTTTCAGGTCTCCTCACACTGCTGGTGGGTTTCCATTTTTTGTCATAGGGTGCTGGCAGATTACGGGCCTCCCATAGCTGCTGCCAGGCCCCTAATCTGCCATGGGCCCCTATACCGCCTCCTCATGCTGCTGCCAAGTCCAGAGTCTGTCATGGGTCCCTGTACGGCCTCCCATTGCTGCTGTCTCCATCGCCACACTCTGCCATGTGCCACTTTCAGGTCTCCTCACACTGCTGGTGGGTTCCATTTTTTGTCATAGGGTGCTGGCAGATTATGGGCCTCCCATAGCTGCTGCCAGGCCCCTAATCTGCCATGGGCCCCTGTACCGCCTCCTCATGCTGCTGCCAGGTCCAGAGTCTCTCATGGGTCCCTGTACGGCCTCCCATATTGCTGCTGTCTCCATCGCCACACTCTGCCATGTGCCACTTTCAGGTCTCCTCACACACTGCTGGTGTGTTCAATTTTTTGACATAGGGTGCTGGCAGATTACGGGCCTCCCATAGCTGCTGCTGCTGCCAGGCCCCTAATCTGCCATGGGCCCCTATACTGCCTCCTCATGCTGCTGCCAGGTCCAGAGTCTCTCATGGGTCCCTGTACGGCCTCCCATTGCTGCTGTCTCCATCGCCACACTGTGCCATGTGCCACTTTCAGGTCTCCTCACACTATGGTGTGTTCAATTTTTTGACATAGGGTGCTGGCAGATTACGGGCCTCCCATAGCTGCTGCCAGGCCCCTAATCTGCCATGGGCCCCTGTACCGCCTCCTCATGCTGCTGCCAGGTCCAGAGTCTGTCATGGGTCCCTGTACGGCCTCCCATTGCTGTTGTCTCCATCGCCACACTCTGCCATGTGCCACTTTCAGGTCTCTTCACACACTGCTGGTGTGTTCAATTTTTTGACATAGGGTGCTGGCAGATTACGGGCCTCCCATAGCTGCTGCCAGGCCCCTAATCTGCCATGGGGCCCCCATGCTGCTTACTGTCATGGGCGACTCCTCATGCTGCTGCCAGGCCCATCTGTGATGTAACAGTCTGTCATGGGCCCCTGTTGTCGCTTGTTGGCATATTTCCGCTCGTGCAGATGCTCCTTCTCCTGCTACTCCTCTTCACGGATTCCGTCAGCAGTCTTTCTTGGAATCCGTTTCCAAGAGACAACAGTTTGCGAGCAGGCACCTGACGAAGCAGAAGCTGAACGTCCTCCTGTCCAAGGTTGCTGCTGCCAGCTCGTAAATCTGTCATGCGCCCCTGTACCGCCTCCTCATGCTGCTGCCAGGTCCAGAGTGTGTCATGGGTCCCTGTACGGCCTCCCATTGCTGCTGCCAGGCCCGTAATCTGCCATGGGCCCCCGTACCAACTCCTCATGCTGCTGCCAGCCAATCTGCCATGGGGAAAAGGGTACCGACCTCATGGGCCATGGCCCGTAAATCCCCCCTGTACCGCCTCCTCATGCTGCTGCCAGGTCCAGAGTGTGTCATGGGTCCCTGTACGGCCTCCCCATTGCTGCTGTCTCCATCGCCACACTCTGCCATGTGCCACTTTCAGGTCTCCTCACACTGCTGGTGGGTTTCCATTTTTGTCATAGGGTGCTGTATGGCCTCCCATTGCTGCTGCCTCCACCGCCACACTGTGGCTCCACACTCTGGTTTTGGCCCCGTGACTGCCCAAATGAGTGAAGTGTGTGG